AGAGAGAGAGAGAGAGAGAGAGAGAGAGAGAGAGAGAGAGAGAGAGAGAGAGAGAGAGAGAGAGAGAGCGGTGTACGATGTATGGTGGATGATGGACGATCGGTGTCAAACCCGACACTTCTGCACAATAGAAGAATATGCCGACGGTTTTCAAGCCGAAATTTAATCACACTGACTTACTTGAGGCGATGTGCTCCTTGTACCAATACCAATAGCAATACAATACCAATAGCAATAGCAATACAATACCAATACCAATACCAATAGCAATACAATACCAATACAATACCAATACAATACCAGTTGGTATTGGTATTGGTATTGGTATTGGTATTGGTATTGGTATTGGTATTGGTATTGGTATTGGTATTGGTAAATACCAATACCAATACCAATACCAACACCAATACCAACACAAATACCAATACCAATACCAATACCAATACCAATACCAATACCAGTACCAATATCAATACCAATACCAATACCAATACCAACACCAATACCAACACAAATACCAATACCAATACCAATATCAATACCAATACTTATGCCAATACCAACACCAACACCAATACTAATAGAAATAGCAATACCAATACATATGTCACTACTAATACTAATACCTTTACCAATACCAATACCGATAACAATACTAAAAGTAATAGCAATACCAATGCCGATACCAAAACTCCGATTACAGTAATACCCAAACCTTTCCCGCACTGCAGCAATCACCCACTATGTGCCAGCTCCACGCTCTGTATGTATTCTCGTCTCCTGTAACGATCGGTATATATACGATGACGAACTTACAAGCATCTCAACTGTAGCTAGTTAGCGAGTTTGTCGAGTCGTTGCGTGCAAGCCTGGATTTATCCGGCGTAAGTGTCGGCAAACCGCTAATGCCGTCTAGAACTGTTTCGGGCGCACATTCGCACCTGAACCTCGCCAATAAGATTGCCCGTCGCAGACGCATCGCTTATTCAAACGCACACACGCACGCAAGCAAGCACACGCACGCACAATATTAGCTTTTGTTTTGCTAGCTTTTGATACACGCACGCACATATATATATATATATATATATATATATATATATATAGT